TCAAGCCCGCCCCGAACGAGTGTCTTTCCTTTGCCCCAATGACTCCTCCTATGTGGTGAGCCAATGGGCAGCTTGGATGAGTGGCGCCATTGCTGTCCCTCTGTATAAAAACCACCCTCCCGCTGAGCTAGAGTACATCTTGCAGGACTCCCAGAGTGCTCTGGTGCTGGCAGAGACCAGCTATACGGACGCTGTGGCACCTCTGGCCGAGAAGCTGGGCATTGCAAAACTTACCGTGCCAGATAGACAGTCAGGTGGGAACATGGAGGAGAACGCCCCCGAATTTGGCCTGGACTGGAAAGAGAGGGGAGCCATGATTATATACACCAGCGGGACCACAGGAAGACCGAAGGGGGTGCTCAGCACTCACCACAATCTAAGCGCTATGGTAAGAACCCCAAAATGCAAGAAGATTCTGCTTCTTTCTTCTTCGTTCTTTTTTCTTTTTCCGCACAACATACGGGCAGACCTTTCAATTACGATACAAATAACAAAAATGTATTAAAAAGATGCAAAAACATACAAGCCATAAAGAGCAACTGCTCTGAGGAAGGGAGTTTGACTCCCGAAACGCGTTAGTACTTTATCCGAGGACGCATGCTGTCCACGATTGGCACCTTTGACTTCTTGTCTCTGTTTTTATGACCTTTATGGCTTGTGAGTATGTTTTTGCATCTTTTTAATACATTTTTGGTTATGTATGATTATGTCAGTATTTCTGTGCTCAAAGCGATACATTTTTTTGCATGGAAATGTGTTGTTGTTTCTTTTATTGTAGGCTGTAATTTTAGGGAATAACTCACTGAAATCTGTCCAAACAAGAGTCTAGTAAACATCCCGGGGAGGATAAAATTTGAAAAACGAAATCATAAATAATTTAATAAATAATCATAAAAAGTAATATAATAATAAATTTAATTCAATAATATAATCAAACCGAAAAACACTGAAATGTGAAATATAGCGCCAAGTTGGCACCATCGCTGAGCTCAGTCGCAGAATCGTTTTCAGTGTCTGATGAGGAATTTCCCCCACCAATCATTATCACTCAATTCTGCAAGTGGTTCTGATTTACTATCGCTGTTCTCTAGCCGCTCTAAAACCGCGTCTGACCTAAAGGGACGCTTTTTGGACGCCATGGACGTTTCTCAGTTTCCAGGCAGAAAGAGCGGTAAAAAAATGCAGGCAGGGCGCCGGACAAAGCACTCGGGACAAAATGTATGTGAAATGGTTTGATACAGGAATGTTATATTATGTGATTTTAGTGGATTTAGTGAATGTCACTTTTTAAAATGTTTACATTTCCCGCCAGTTCTGTTCCCTGAATGTATATATCTTGTATCTGTTAAAATAAAGCCGTCTATTTCCTGGTTTACTTCAATACTGATGCCGTCTAGTCTCGTATGGTTGGCGGTGGTGTCTGTGGTCGGTGTTCGGACGGGGAAGCGGTATTCTAACGGAAGTACCCAAGTGCAGTCTGAGGTCGGTTCCGTTACACGCGCAATTGTCAGTTAAAGTAAAAGAGGGCCGTATCGCAAAAATTGGCCTGGTCATTAGGGGGGGGGGGGGGGGGCAGGGTAAGTCCCCTGGAGGGCAAGTGGATAATACGGGATTTGTGCGGCTCCGACAGTTTGCGAAGCTCTTTAACTAGTAGCCGACCGCAGATAGCCGAATGACGGCTGCACCGCGGCCGGCCAGTTCTGGGTGGACGTCATATGACAGCCTCCCAGAACGCGCTCTCCTGCACGCCCCAGTGGGCGCGCACCCGGCGATCTCCGTGATCGCTGTGTCCTACGGACACAGCTGATCACGTGATGTGGTAAAAGGCCAATCACAGCGGCCTTTTACCACGTGATCAGCGGTGTCCAATGACACGCTGATCAGAGGGAAATACAAGTGCCGGTTCTCGGCTGCACTTTCCTCACGCTGTCAGATCGTGAGGAAAGTACTGCCGAGAACCGGCAGTTGTCAGAGCGGGATCGGCACCGATCATCAGGGCACTGATGATCAGTGCCCTGATGATCGGTGCCCAGCAGTGCCACCCGCAAGTTCCGACCACCTGTGCCCAGCAGTGCGCCCACTAGCTCCGCCCACCTGTGCCCAGCAGTGCACCCACCTGTGCCACTCTGCAGTGCCACCTACATGTGCCCAGAAGTGCCACCTACCTGTGCCCAGCAGTGCCACCCACCTGTGCCCACCAGTGCCACCCACCAGTGCAGCCCAGCAGTGCTGCCAGTCAGTGCCACCAGTCAGTGCCCAGCAGTGATGCCAGTCAGTGCCGTCTATCAGTACCCATCATCAGTGTCACCTATCAGTGCCGCCTATCCGTGACACCTCATTAGTACTGCCTATCAGTGCCCTTTAGTGCTGCCCATCAGTGCCGCCTATCAGTGCCCATCAGTGCTGCCTCATCAACGTACATCAGTGAAGGAGAAAAAATACCTGTTTGAAAAATTTTATAATAGAAACAAAGAAACGTTTTTTTTTTTTTTCAAATTTTTTGCAATTTTTTTAATTTATAGCGCAAAAAGTAAAGCGCCCAGCAGCGATTAAATACCACCAAAAGAAAGCTCTATTTGTGAGAAAAAAATGATCAAAAGTTCATTATGGGTACAATGTTGCATGACCGCACAATTGTCAAAGTGCGGCGGCGCTGAAAGCTGAAAATTGGCCTGGTAAATAAGGGGGTATAAGTGCCTGGTAGGCAAGTGGTTAAAATGTAAAGGTGGGCAGTATAATTCAATACAGAAGGAATGGGGGGGGGGGGGCAGCTTGGTCATGGAGCTTACAATCTACATTCACCAGAACTCCATGCGTTTTGGCTCAGTTGACTTGGGATGGACCAAGGAGGTACAAAGGCCGGGGATAAGGGTGAGGGGGCTGATATTTTTGTACTCTCTCCATACAGGTGACGGCTCTGATACAGGAGTGGGCGTTGAATAGCGCAGATCGTATCCTGCATGTGCTGCCCCTTCACCATGTTCACGGCGTGGTCAACAAGCTGCTTTGTCCTCTGTGGGTCGGGGGCCACTTGTGTCATGCTGCCCGAGTTCTGCCCCAAGAAGGTAAGGCATGTTCCGACTTTTATGTTTCAGAACATCGAATGGAATTTGACAATCCTCTTGTATTGATTGGCATCACCGATGCACCTCGTTTGTCTTCCTGGTAAAACATCGACGGTTTGAATGAAATGTCACTTTGGGGGTCCAGTTATTGTAAATCTGACCGTTTCATCCAACGGCTAATGAGATTGGGCCACACATTGTGCGGTTATTAAAGTGGAAACTAAACCCTCTCAATCAACACTGACTATTTTAATCCTTATGCCACGTGCATTAGTAAATAGACATTTCTTCAGTTGCTTCCTGGTTTCTGGCCTAGGCCAAAATTATGTCAGAAGGAAAGATCCAGAAGCCGCACATTAAAGGCAGACCCATGTGCATGAGGTGGGATGAATGGCAGCCTCAGCCCAGACTCCACCCAGGATATGCCCCCAACAGATTTCACTCCGCCCCTTGGAGCCTAATCATGGGGGTCAAGCTCCAAGGGGCGGAGTGAAACGTGTTGGGGGCATAGCCTGGGTGGAGTCTGGGCTGAGGCTACCATTCCTCTCACACATGGGTCTGCCTTTGATGTGCGGCTAATGGATCTTTGCTTTTGACATTACTGCAGCTTGGAGCTCCCTATCCCTGGCAGCACTCACAGCGGACTAGTTTGGACTTCACCTCCCTACCTGAGCTGCACCTAATCTTGTCTTTTTAGGCCAAAATGATGTCATATATTCCAGGAGTCTTCATGATCTTTTTTTTTTTTTTTCATTTGGAGGAGGGGCTTTGAAACATTTCATCAGCACTAAGCACACCCTCCTGCTTGCATGCCCCCCCCCCCCATGCCTGAGCTCCCTGTCTGCTTTGTGTGTGTGTTTCAAGGGGATCTCTCGACCAAATTTAGAGACACGGGCGGGTGGGGGAGTTTGTTTTGAAACATTTCACAGTTCCCTGCACTGTGTAATGGTTTTGCACAGAGCAGCTCTGATCCACTTCTCCCCTGTTGGTGCTCCTGGCTCTCCCCCCCCCCCCCCTGCCTAGGGCCCACCATAAGAAGCTGCTTGATATGGGGGCACTTGTACAGGTTCACTCCTGAGCCGGCTGTCCATTGACACACACAGCATGGCTCAGCCCTGCCCCTCACCCCGACTTCCTTCTCACTGGCAGTGATTGACAGCAGTGGAAACCAATTGCCTATGAGCCTATGAGGAGGGAGAGAGCCACTGCTCTCATGCACGCCGCTGGATCAGAATGTGGCTCCGGTAAGTATAAGGGAGGGGGGGGGATGGGAGCTGCACTCACGTTTTTTTTATCTAATGCAGAGAATGCCTGGAGGTAAAACACCTTCAGCCTTTAGAACCACTTTAATACATTCCTTGCATTAAAAAATGTTTAGGTAAAAGCATTCTCAGTGTCCTCCACCCCTCTCTGCCAATCCCTCCACTGGCCTCCACTCAGTGTCCTCCACCCCGTTGCCATCCCTCCACTGGCCTCCACTCAGTGTCCTCCACCCCTCTCTGCCAATCCCTCCACTGGCCTCCATTCCGTGTCCTACATTACTCTCTGCCAATCCCTCCACTGCCTCCATTCAGTGTCCTCCACCCCTCTCTGCCAATCCCTCCACTGACCTCCCACTCAGTGTCCTCCACCCCCCTCTGCCAATCCCTCCACTGGCTTCCATTCAGTGTCCTCCACCCCTCTCTGCCAATCCCTCCAATGGCCTCCATTCAGTGGCCTCCATCCCTCTCTGCCAATCCCTCCAATGGCCTCCATTCAGTGGCCTCCATCCCTCTCTGCCAATCCCTCCACTGGCCTCCACTCAGTGTCCTCCACCCCTCTCTGCCAATCCCTCCACTGGTATCTACTCAGTGTCCTCCACCCCTCTCTGCCAATCCCTCCACTGACCTCCACTCAGTGTCCTCCACCCCTCTCTGCCAATCCCTCCACTCAGTGCCTCCACCCCTCTCTGCCAATCCCTCCACTGGCTTCCATTCAGTGTCCTCCACCCCTCTCTGCCAATCCCTCCACTGGCCTCCACTCAGTGTCCTCCACCCCTCTCTGCCAATCCCTCCACTGGTACCTCCACTCAGTGTCCTCCACCCCTCTCTGCCAATCTCTCCACTGGCTTCCATTCAGTGTCCTCCACCCCTCTCTGCCAATCCTCCACTGGCCTCCACTCAGTGTCCTCCACCCCTCTCTGCCAATCCCTCCACTGGCCCCCATTCAGTGTCCTCCACCCCTCTCTGCCAATCCTCCACTGACCTCCACTCAGTGTCCTCCACCCCCCTCTGCCAATCCCTCCACTGACCTCCACTCAGTGTCCTCCACCCCTCTCTGCCAATCCCTCCAATGGCCTCCACTCAGTGTCCTCCACCCCTCTCTGCCAATCCCTCCACTGACCTCCACTCAGTGTCCTCCACCCCCCTCTGCCAATCCCTCCACTGACCTCCACTCAGTGTCCTCCACCCCTCTCTGCCAATCCCTCCAATGGCCTCCACTCAGTGTCCTCCACCCCCTCTGCCAATCCCTCCACTGACCTCCACTCAGTGTCCTCCACCCCTCTCTGCCAATCCCTCCACTGGCTTCCCATTGCCCAACGGATAAAATTCAAAACATGAACAATAACATATAAAGTCGTTTATAACTCCATAAATCCTGCATAATAATAACGTGACATGCGATGTCTGTGCGGTGTGAGCCATCTGATTTCTGGCATTCGCACTGCGTTTTACAATCTGTTTTGGGGGTGTCATTAATTTAACATTGACACCCGTACCGGATCTCATGGACGCCGCGGTATTGCAATGCGGTGCGGCACACACACAGGATTCGCCGCGTTTCCCGCATGGCATTAGTGTGAAGCAGGTCTAATGTTTCCTATTACACTCTGTAAGACGGGGAGGTCAGCAGCGGATAGATCCGACTTCCTCTGACATTCCCAACAAACTTTTCATCAATGCTGGAAAGTCACCTGACCTGCGCAGCGATCATTATTGGTAGATATGGCCGCCTGATCTAAATACAAAACAAAGATTGCTCCCCTCTGTCCTCGTCCGGCTGCTCTGAACGAAGAGGCTTTTGGGGGCTTTTGATGTCTCAGCTGCAGTAAAGCGTCTTCTATCTGCGGTCTTTTGGGGGGAGAATTGTTCTGGAGCAGCAATGTGGGGGGGGGGGGGAGAGACTGTAAACAGCTAAGGGGAATATAAAGCCGGGGGGTCCAGGATCAGTGAGGGTGTCTGTGAGGCCGGGAGGGAGTCACCTCTATTCAGTCCGCCTTCCTTTTCCCTGTTTAGGCTCCTGCTGGCGGCACAGTGCTGGAATGGGGAAGCCTGTCAGGCCCTGTTAGGAATCACATACATCAGGGGAGGGGGGGGGGGGGGGGGGGGGAGTAGAAAGTCCTCTCAATGCAGAGAGCAGACTCAGTAATGCAGGCCATACACGGGTCGAATTCGTCCAAAAATTGAAACCGTTGTTTGCTCGGTAATCCGACGGCGCCATCAATGATTTCGAAAATCAGCCGACCGAGTCATAAAGTTCACCCCATATAACAGGCGACACTTCTGTTCCTTCCAGGTCACGGCTCATGCGTGTATCCTTTTCGGAAAAAACGATCGTACGATTTGACCATCATTGAGTCAAAAATCGGTCGTTTTTCACAAATTTTCTAACATGCCCAGTCACCGAAAAGGGGAGGAACCACGAAAATCAGCCGGTGCCATTGACCCCACTAACAGAGCGAAAATCGGCCAATTATTCCTAGATCCGATTTTAGGACGAAAAAATCGGTCAAATTTCAACCCATGTATGGCCGGCATTAGTGTTCGCATTTGTACACTTCCCCTACAGGTGACACCACCGGAGATACTGCTAGTTTGTTCCAGCCGGGGCACCTTAAACCGATATGGAAGTGCTAGTAAACGCGTTTTTGTGATTTTCTTTTTTTTTTCCCACCTACAGGTAATCTTATAACAAAGCTCAAGATTAATATTTCCTAAGCATGTGCTTTTTAGGAGATATTCCATCGAGCGTGGTGACGTCACCGGCACACGTGCTCTGAAGGAACGGCATACCCGTGCTACAAATCGCCACGCACGCCGGAGTGAGAGCAATCATTCTGACCGAGCACGGCTGTCAAACTGGCGGCCCTCCAGCGCCTCCTGATGTGTTCAAGGGGCACTCTAGTGAATCTTTAACTAGTCCACATTGAAAGGGATTATTGCTAAGTGTGTGAAGGTGGTTTTGGTGGCCGTATATAGTATTCTTTTTTTGTTTAATGAAAGATTGCAGCACAGCTATACTTGTGTGCACTGGGGGGGGGGGGGGTTTTAAGCTTGTTATTAGGGAAAGGGGGCGGGGGGCACATAGGAGGCAGTACTAGGGACACTGGTTCGAATCCCAACCACGGCACCGCCTGCTTGGAGTTTGCATGTTCTCCCTGTGCCTGCGTGGGTTTCCTCGGGTACTCCGGTTTCCTTCCACACTCCAAAGACATGCTGGTAGGTTAATTGGCTCCCGTCTAAATTGCCCTAGTATGTGTATGTATGATGGGAGTTAGGGACCTTAGATTGTACGTTCCTCGTGGGCGGGGACTGATGTAAGTGTATGTATGTGTGTATATATATATATATATATATACAGTTGCAAGAAAAAGTATGTGAACCCCTTGGGATTACGTGGAGTTTTGCATGAATTGGGCATAAAATGTGCTCTGAACGTCATCTAAGTCACAACAATAGAAGAACACAGTCTGCTGAACATAATACTACACAAACATTAGATGTTGCCATGGTTTAATTGCACATAACATGTAAACATTCACAGTGCAGGGAGGAAAAAGTATGTGAACCTTTGGACTTAATAACTGGTTGACCCTCCTTTGGCAGCAATAACCTCAACCAAACGTTTCCTGTAGTTGCAGATCAGACCTGCACAACGATCTGGAGTCATTTTGGACCACTCCTCTTCACAAAACTGTTTCAGTGTAGCAATATTCTTGGGATGTCTGGTGTGAATCGCTCTCTTAAGGTAATGCCACAGCATTTCAATCGGGTTGAGGTCAGGACTCTGACTGGGCCACTCCAGAAGGCGTATTCTGTGCTGTTGCAGCCATTGTTTTGTTGAATTACTTGTATGCTTTGGGTCATTGTCCTGTTGCATCACCCATCCTCTGCGGAGCTTCAGTTGGCGGACAGATGGTCGTACGTTTTCCTGCAAAATGTCTTGATAAACTCTGGAATTCATTTTCCATCAATGACAACAATCTGTCCAGGCCCTGAGGCAGCAAAGCAGCCCCAAACCATGATGCTCCCTCCGCCATGTTTCACAGTGGGGATGAGGTTTTGATGTTGGTGTGCTGGGCCTTTTTTTCTCCACACATAGTGTTGTGTGTTCTTCCCAAACAACTCAATCTTGGTTTCATCTGTCCACAGTATATTCTGCCAGTAGTGCTGTGGAACATCCAGGTGCTCTTTTGCAAACTTCAAACGTGCTGCAATATTCTTTTTGGACAGCAATGGCTTCCTCCGTGGTGTCCTCCCATGTACTCCATTCTTGTTTAATGTTTTCCTTATTGTAGATGTGTCAACAAAAATGTTAGCATGTGCCAGAGATTTCTGTAGGTCTTTAGCTGACACTCTGGGATTCTTCTTTTTGCCCAGCCTCATGCAGCATTCTGCGCTCTGCTCTTGCAGTCATTTTTACAGGACGACCACGCCTAGGGAGAGTAGCAACAGTGCTAAACTTTCTCCATTTGTAGACAGTCTGTCTTACCGTGGACACATGAACATCAAGGCTCAAGGAGATACTTTTTTAACCCTTTCCAGCTTCATGCAAGTCAACAATTCTTGATCGTAGGTCTTCTGAGAGCTCTTTTCTGCGAGGCATGGTTCACATCAGACAGTGCTTCTTGAAACCAGTAAACCCAAAACAGGTGTGTGTTTTTTTAAGGGCAGGACAGCTGTCAGCAACACATCCAATATCATCACACTGATTGGAGTCAAGGTTGGCTCACTCCTGGCTCCAATTGGGTCTGGGAGAAGTCATTAAGCTAGGGCCTCACATACTTTTTCCTCCCTGCACTGTGAATGTTTACATGTTATGTGCAATTAAACTATGGCAACATCTAATGTTTTTGTAGTATTATGTTCAGCAGACTGTGTTCTTCTATTGTTGTGACATAGATGACGTTCAGAGCACATTTTATACCCAATTCATGCAAAACTCCTCGTAATCCCAAGGGGTTCACATACTTTTTCTTGCAACTGTATATATATATATGATATGTGACGCACTGCATTAATTGGCGACGCTATGTAAGTACCTGTAGTAGTAATAATAATTAGGAGCAGCAACAAGTACATGAAGCCAACGCGTTTCGGGAGAGAGGCTCTTCCTTCTTCAGGGCGAATGAAAGACTGTCAGAGTGTCATCTGTAGTTGCAGTGGCAGCATTGGCACAATGTATATGTACAGCGCTGCGTAAAAACTGACGGCTCTATAGTACTGCAAATAAATAATAATAAACATTAGGGATTATTATTATTATACAGTATTTATTAAAGCGCCGATAGTTGGCTCAGCGCTGTACATTACAGAGGGGAACAGAACATGTGACAGAACAATACCAATACAATGCAAAACATGAGGGGATCGAGGGCCCTGCTCCTTGGAGCTTACAATCTAGGAGGGAGGGGATGGTGGCACAGGAGGAGATAGCTGTGGGGGATGGAGTGGTAGGAAGAGTGGAGGAGATCGGTCAAGTTAGCAGGGGGTGGGGTAGGCTTCCCTGAAGAGATGGGTTTTCAGGGTGCGCCTAAAGGAGAGGAGAGTAGGTGATAATCTGATGGGTTGGGGCAGGGAGTTCCAGAGGATGGGTGACACCCTGGAGAAGTCCTGGAGGCGGGCATGGGAGGAGGAGACCAGGGAACTAGAGAGAAGGAGGTCTTGTGAGGAGCGGAGTGTGCGTGTTGGGTGGTACTTGGATATTAGGTCAGTGATGTAGTTCGGGGCAGTATGGTGGACGGCTTTGTACGTCAGTGTTAGGATTTTGAATTTGATCCGTTGTGCAATCGGAAGCCAGTGGAGGGATTGGCAGAGGGGGGGTGGAGGACACTGAATGGAGGTCAGTGAGGGGATTGGCAGAGGGGGGTGGAGGACACTGAATGGAGGCCAGTGGAGGGATTGGCAGAGAGGGGTGGAGGACACTGAGTGGAGGCCAGTGGACGGATTGGCAGAGAGGGGTGGAGGACACTGAGTGGAGACCAATGGAGGGATTGGCAGAGGGGGGTGGAGGACACTGAGTGGAGGCCAGTGGAGGGATTGGCAGAGGGAGGTGGAGGACACTGAGTGGAGGCCAGTGGAGGGATTGGCAGAGAGGGGTGGAGGACACTGAGTGGAGGCCAGTGGAGGGATTGGCAGAGGGGGGTGGAGGACACTGAGTGGAGGCCAGTGGAGGGATTGGCAGAGGGGGGTGGAGGACACTGAGTGGAGGCCAGTGGAGGGATTGGCAGAGGGGGGTGGAGGACACTGAGTGGAGGCCAGTGGAGGGATTGGCAGAGGGGGGTGGAGGACACTGAG